TGCCTTGCCAACACCCACATTATCAAACTGAATGCTTCCCACAAACTCTATTAGGTTAGATTTTGCATTCCGAACTAATTATTAACCCTGCACTAACCAAGAGTATTCAAAACTAAATTAGTTTCAAAACAATTCAACACAAAGCGCCGTCTATTATCAGAGTCGATCACTACAACTGTTGGAAGTGTAAAGTATCTTTGCGTTTGGCAGCCGAGTTACCTATGTGACCACTGGATGCCGTCGATTTTGGTGATATCGTAAATGTGATCTACTATCCATTGAAAATCCGCTAGCGATAAACCTTATACCTCAGATAGAGGATACTTGCTATGCTTTTGTTCGTTCTCCATAGACGGCGTTCTGAAAATTGGCGACTCCAGGTGATATATGAATGACAAGATTACATTTCTAATACTGGAGCTACAACAACCTAATTTCATTTTAAATTTTTAAAGTTGGTGATCATCACCCTAAGTAGAGAATTATTCCAATATTTTCTAATTTACCATGACCCCTGTTAAGTCAAAAAGATGCAATTTCAAGGTGAGTCACCGCCTTGGTTGGGTCATGATCTTGTGAAAGCTTCCTTATAGGAATTCGATTTTGTTGATAAGCCGAAGAGATAGGCGAGCAGACCTTTATAAGGAAGGCGTTGTGAAGTCGTGAAGAAACCACGAAGAATGAATAAATGTTAAACAATAAGGAAGGTGTGTCAGGTCAGGTGTGTAAGAATTGCTTCATGCCCCTGCATCTCTAATAAGCCCAAATATTATAATAATGGGTAACTGTTATAGTTTATTTTAACCACAGCCAATTCACGTTGTGGTTCAGTCGATTAGAAACTGTTGCTGGAGACCCACAATTTTTATCAGTATGCAAGCGGAGATAATTTAGTTTTCTGACCAACACAAAACCGTCGGAAATGAGTGAGTTATTTTTTATAGTGTGGCTTACCTATGTTGTCTAGTATAGAGATTTATTTTTACTTTGCATAAGAAAGTAAGTCTGTAGTATCATATAATCAGAACATCTATGAACTAAATAAATTTAATTACTTATTTATGCAGAGACCGCTTTGGCAAATAATGACGGATGGAAGAAGAATCTATTTCAGGTATTTGTCCACTATGTGGTGTATCGTTGAGCTTATTATGATGTGTTTATTAAACAAATAAATATCATTTGGCCATATAACTTCTTTTCATGTAATCACTTAATAAAAGCTCGCGCTAAGCAACTGTGGGGTACAACTTAATTATACTAATGTATCAGTTAATAATAACTAAATTAACACGCAACTTATCGAGACGAGGAAGAGTGATCTCGTTACTTAACTTGGAATTATGTTGTCTATATTTACATTGTCATAGTAGGCGGTGAAAAAGTTCAGTGTGGGCAGTCAAAATAGGAAATGCAAGATGCGATGAGATGCACGAATGAAACTGGGGCAATGTGGCTAGAAAAAACCGAAGCGGACTGTGCATGAATGTTGTGGATATATCTGGTGATAACACACACACACAAATGGATGCAGCAGTGGTGATCTCGTCTGATGTACACTCCATTAATGGAAGTAATCTCGCTTTAACAGTACTTTGTATTGGATGTTCGCATTGGAAAAAATGGCGTCAAGTAAGTTGACTCTATACTTCCCACCCACGGAACGCTGTTATCAGTTCGTAAAGGATTATGTTTGCACAAGTTAGCCCTTCTGAGAAAAAAGTTAGCTACGAACATGTATAAAAAAAATTAAATGACCTTCCTCCTCCCTCTGGGAGAAATTCCTGCAGGCCCTTATGATCGTTGCGATGAACAATCCTGCGTGAATGACGATATTGGCCTTCACCATGCACAGTGAACACAGCACACAGCAGCGCGGAAGCGATTGCCGGCTGTGACGTACGAGCACCGACGACGGTTGTCCATCGGGGGCCACGTGTCGACACCCGACTGTTGAAGATATTTCTAAGTTTCAAGGATAAATGTACGGGAATATCTATGATGAGTGAAATATGCCTAATATATAATAATATAAAATTGGGATATACCTTCCCCCAGACTCTGCAACCCCTAACCTCAATTTTTAAACACTACAAAAAATCTACTGAAAATGAAGAGGATTGTCTGAAACGTCAAAAGATCAACAAAAGAAGTTTGAGCGATTTTTATTTTTTTATTTTTTGTCTTTTTCTACGCTGCCACTGAACCGATTTTCAAAAACTACAGAGCTTCTGGGTCCTTGGCATCGAAGTAACATTGTACAACACTATCATCAAAATACGAGAGGTACTTCTCAAGTTATAGGTGGTTATAGGATAGCGCATAGACCGACAGAAAGACAGGCCAACGGAAATGAGCGACATGTTTGGCCAGTAAAATCACATATATTGACAGATCTGATTTACTGTAAACGTAAGTATGAGCACTTACTTTCTAGTCACAAAAATAAGTCAAATGCGTGCGTTTTGAACACTTTGAATAAGCTCGATACTGTTTTGATCCAGAGCTGGACGATAGACTGGTGGTGCACAGTGAGTAAATTGAGAGGGTACAAGTATATCACACGGCATTCTTTTTGTGCCTGCTATTAAATAGGTTTTCTGAATGTATTTCGTCACATCATCTCTGAACGTCAGGTCCTGATAAACAAGCAAGCCCCAATTTTTTGTATTATCTGTGATTTCAATATAATTATTTTTTTCAGGTAAGGCCTCGGTCGCTATGGGGTTCATGAAGTAGTAAGTTCAATCCATAGTAATAATACTTATAAATGCTATGGAAAACGTAAAAATGACCGCGTTATTTTTAGCTACCGTTTTTATAATGAAAATGTCAGTTGCCCAACAGCATAGTCAAAACGTTATCATTATACTTCAGATGAAATGCCCATTTTCCATTAGAACAATATGATAATTGCTTTTCGTTTATTGGGAGCCCTGGTTGCTAGTGGACGAGCCGTTAATGTGACGTACACACATTTGGGCCACCTTGGGCAATATCCAAATCAATGCAAATTAAACCATGCTCAGAATTACGATTTTAGATATTTTTAAGAGATTAACACAGTGCGGAGTATCATTACTCAAAATACACGTTAGCAACATCCAAAGATCACGAAGCATAATCTAACATAGACCTCATACCACAAATTTCTATTGCACCGCCATTATTTGTGACGCTAAGTAAAGCTTAAATGTCAAAGTCAAAAAGATAAATCAAATATTTGTAGAGCTCAAGTTGGGGGACGTTTTTGTAGAACAGTCTCGGAAATTATGCAGGACGCTCTGCGCTCTGTGGAATCCTGATGTAGGGAGGTCGATCTTTCTGTTAATGCTGAAAAGACCAAGCTGATCCTATTCACTAGGAGAAGAAGGCTTGACGGGCTGGTCATGCCGACCTTCTTTTGGGACTAGATTAATTCTATCCCAATCAGTGAAATATCTGGGAATTATCCTGGATTGCAAACTGAACTGGAGAGGGCATGTTGAATACAAGGTTACCAAGGCTCGCAATTCAATGTAGGCCTGTAGACCTGTTGTCGGCGTAAGGTGGGGGCTTAAACCCAAAGCGGTATACTGGCTCTACACGACGACAGTAGGTCCATCTCTCTTGTACGGCTCTCTGGTCTGGTGGCCTTGCATTAGAGCTGAGACAACTAAGGCCAAACTCAATAAAATTCAGCGTTTGGCCTGTATTAGTATTACAAGCGCAGTGTGAACAACGCCATTGAGTGCAACGGTGAAGCGAGAGTAGTCGCTCATCGACTGTGGAGTCAGGACAGCTGGGCTTTCTTGAATTCTGTCAAGAGGCTTACTGCCATCTTAGTCGAATTGCAAAGGGAGTATCCCTTCCTTCTAAGCAGAGGTGATCGTATTACCCCTAAATATCGCTTCAACCGCAAGTTTATTGTGGAGTATCCAACGAGGGAGGAGTGGGACGCCGGTAGCCGGAGACTCTCCGGAATGAGCGGGCAGGTCTGGTACACGGACGGCTCGATCACCGAAGAGGGCTCAGGTGCTGGGGTCTCTGGGCCTAGAACTAGGCTATCTCTGCCTCTCGGTGGATACACCACCATTTTCCAGGCGGAAATCTTTGCAATTCTGGCTTGTGTATCTCACATTCTGGAGGAGGGTGGGCCTAGGAGAAGAATAACAATCTTATCCGACAGCCAGGCTGCAATGAAAGCACTAAGTGTCTGTAAGATTACTTCGAGTCTTGTATTGAAAAGCAGGGAGGCTCTGGATTGCCTCGCAGCGAGGCATCCGGTATCGTTAATGTGGGTACCGGGGCACGCTGGGATAAGGGGCAATGAGACGGCGGACACTCTGGCGAAGATAGGATCAGCCAGCAAGCTCGTTGGTCCTGAGCCAGCTCTAGGAGTGACCGCGCATAGATCTAGGAGGAAAATGGAGACGTGGATTGCAAGGCAACACTCTCAGAAATGGAGAAGTATCTCCAGACATCTGCGCCAGGCACGGAGACTCATTGAAGGGCCCATTGCTGAGGATGGACGTTTCTGCCTATCTCTGGACTGTTGTCTGGCCATAACACGTTAAGGCGCCACCTGCATGTGATGAGCGTGGCTGAGGATCCCTTGTGTGAACTCTGCGGGGTAGAGGAAGAGACCTCGGTGCACGTTTTGTGTCGCTGTGAAGCTCTGAGCTACTATAGGCAGACTATACTGGGGTCCATTACTTTGGATCCTCAGGACGTCAAGGAGCTTGGACTCAAGGCGATTCTTAACTTCGCTAAGAGGGCGAGACTTGTGATCTCAGGAATGTAGAGGTGCATAAGGACCCGCTTAAGCGGCCTATGCACTGGCTCCTTATGGTGGCCGAAATGCCTCTAATTTCAAGATTCATTCATTCATTCTGAGCTCAAGTTTCCCCTGAAAATACAGGGAAACAGTTTTGTTTTGATTTTCAAACAAGCTCTGAAGGTTGTGAAGCGGTTTGTGAGGAAATATCATAGTATTTTTAGAAGAATTAAATTAAATTGACCTCATAGTTTTGATGACAGAACATTCTTCTAGTGATTTAGAACCAATACAGATATCGTCTCCTACTCTCCAAGTGGATATAATATCCAACAATAAAGCGTTTTCGTTAAAAACTGGAGGCTCTTTTTTACAGCAGAACTAAAAAACACAAATCTGTGGTAAATGAATATTTCACAGCAGTCAAGTATTAGGATTTCTGACAGGATGGTATGAACATATGAAAACCGAAAAGTGGAGTTACCTTGATGCGCAGTGCTCATTAGTTCAAAAGTAGAAATCCGTGAAAATATAGTATACGTGGTTGCGTCGATGACCGATGTGGAGAGCATTGACGAAATAACGATGCGAGCGACTCGCCGACGCATTTGTGTCCTTAGGTTTGATAAATATCATAATTTGGCTATAACTTCGACTTCTTAATATTTGGCGTTTCAAGGAGCATGGGCTTCCATAGTTCACCCACCTTATTTAGCTGTGTGACCAGCTTACGTAAACACGCTGTGATCTTCAATTATTGCCATTATTAACATCCGTATTGGAATTTGTTTTGCCAAATTGTGCGTTAAAATTGTTACTTTAAATCATCTGCTGTCAAAAAACGATGTACATGATTACTTTGTTTTTAAAACTTTACTTGGAAGGTATGATTTCAAAAATATTCCACGCAGCAATTCTAGATGTCAAATGTTTTAAGATCGTACCAGCAAATTGAATGTTTAGAATGTAGCTTAGTAAATGTGTAGCTAATTTTAATCTCTGTTCCAATGGAGTAAACAATGCCAATGGATATATCAGGGTCTTACCAGTGTACAATTTCAGGGATGTTCGGTTTATTAGCGAAAATATTCCTTCCTCTGTCTTTGTCTGATAAACTTTAACTGGCAGTAATATTAAATATCAAACATTTTAAGCTGGATGTAATACAATTTAATTAGATTTCGGTAATCGTATAAATTAGTTTTGATGCAAAATTACACATTAAAATGGAATGTACCATTTGAAATTTATCCTATGATTTTCATGTCGATAATCCACCATGATTGTCTGGCCAATGAAATCACATATATTTGAGATTCTTCTTTTATTTAGTAAACGTTTCGGTCACAGTGGTGTGACCTTTACTTTATGGCACTTGTAACAGCATTATATTTATCCGTCTTCCAAGCAGGGTTGCCAACACTTCGGTAATCAAATCTACTAAATCACACTGCCAGATCTACCAGAAATCTACTAGATGAAAATTATGAATTTCATAAATCTACCAGAAAATCTACTAGTTATAGCTAACCCTCATTTTGCAGTTAATTACGTTTTAGGTTTTAAAGGCGTGTGCGCATATTATGTATTTTTAGTTTTTACTCTAATTTAGATTTTTGGACATATATTATTTCAAATTAGTAATACTATATTGTGAAAATATATTTTGTAAATATTAAAGATAAAGGTAAATCTATAAATAAAAGCAGAACATTTAGTAATATTGCAAAAATATATTTTATCTAGAAACGAAACAAAAATAGACGCATTAATTTTAGTCCTTGCACGAATAATAAAAAATACACTTTCTAAAAATAAAAATAATTCACTATTAATACAGTCAAATCTTGCGTTTTCCTTATGCTTTTTGGATTCACCATGGCTCTTAAGGTCGGCGTAATGACTCGTAATTATTTTACTACAAAATTTGCATTTAGCTTCCCTTCCTAAAGTGCTGTCAATAACCAACAGCCATTCTTTTAAACTAGGGTCCTTTAACCATGCGTCTCGAAACTTTTGAGTATATTGCGGTTTAGGCATGGTTCTGTAATCTGTAATACATAATAATTCAAAGTAATCTACATCATATATGTATCAGTATCATGCTCACTTACCAAAATCAAATAATTAGGCAGGCAGTCTTAAAATAGCAGAATAGTATGCTATAGCTACTACAAAGCACACAAATTATACTGTAAATAATGTTCAAAAATCACCTAAATCATCGTATACGAGATAAACTTCAATTGTCTGTGCAAGAAAAAACAATGTCTGTGATTCCCGTGGATGATGCTCAGAACGTGACGTGATCAAATCACGTGACAAAAAGATGGCGGCTGAATTTCTCGCGCCATCTACCGAAGGAATTGGCAAACATCATGCAGTTAGTGATGTGCAACCCCAATAGATGTCCCAAAACGAGGAGCAAAATCGTTCATCTGACTTTCATACCCCTGATTTCCGACAAAGGAGAACTAAGAGAAGAAGTACGCATACGCAAATTAATTCATTGGTTCTGCCATCTATCGATTCGATGTTCAACTAAATCAAAATAGGATATTTCCCAATGACAGTTTGCTACTTTCTTGAATTATTACTTCAATTCACAAATTGACATGAGTAACTAAGATTCATAATGATATAAATCGAAAGTGGCTTACTAATTATTCTGATTCTTTCATTCTACTGGATTTTCTACTAGCCACTAAAACGTAAATTTGCCCACTAAATGAAGACTGCAATCTACCAGATCTAGTAGAAAATCTACTAAGTTGGCAACCCTGCTTCCAAGAGACACTCCGTTTGTTTTTCCTTTTCCTATGAGATCCATTTATTAAATGCTTAATTGTTTGTTATTTTTATTTTTTTTTCTTCTCTCTTCTGTGTAAATTTTATTAGGATAGGTACTAAGGCCGACTAGGCGATAATATTTTTTCTAGTACTATTTTTTTCCTTTACGGACTTTTAGGTTAAGGTAGCAATAAGCTTGACAGGGTTAAGTATAAATGGCCATTGCCCAGATCTCGCCATTTGTAACTGTGGTACTGTATGTATTTGTTACAGTAAAGTCGACTAAATTGAATTGAATTTTCAGATTACTGTACAGTGTTACAAGGGAAGTCTGAAAGGTGATGGCATGATGGAATCGTGCATCTCGGCATGTTAAGTACCTTTCAGACTACTGTAGGAAGGCACTGGATAGGCATGTGAAAATGAAAAGAAAAAAACAAACGAATTATCACCTGGAAGACAAAATATTGTCAAAAGTGTCATGAAGAAGGTTACCGCTATGACGAAACGTAAAGTGAAAAAGAATTTCAAATATGTGGTTTCATCTACCAGATGGATATGAGGGATTATAAAAATAGAAATGTGTACTTGTATGGAGCGGATAGAGGTGCACGACCTTTGGATGAAGCCCTACATCGTCTTGAATTCCGTTTCGGCCAAAAAACTGACCATTAGTACTTGCGTCTTAACCTCGCTTTTACATCGTTGGTGTAACAGTACGAAATACTGCTTATTCGTATTACCGTAGCTTGTAAGGAAATATAATTCCATCCTTAATAGAATTATCCATACGAGTACGCAAGTGAACATGCTTCCGGAACTAAATAGAGATTTCACGTCGTTATAGCGGTAATTGCCATCCCTAAGTGGCCCGTTTTAATTTATTTTCATTGGTTTACTTGGAGCTTAGAATAATATGGACGCTTCCATTTGCAGAATGCGAGGACGCGAGCCAATATTTAACAGTCTTACATCCTCCGGTAATGTAAATTGATGGTATTGTGATGCTAAAATGTTGTTATTGTCAGCTTCCGCAAGCGAATCGTCCTCAGGGTCGGACGTGCTCGACCGAAGATCCTTTTCGTTATCGATAATTTTGAAAAGGAAAAAAATAGCTAGGTAGATTGACCTCCCTTGCATTCACTTGTATCCAGTCTTTTTTCGATCTGCAAAATTGTAACATACCTATATATAACAGATACCTCTTGCTTTTGGGTGTGTTGTATAGACCACCCTCACAAAACCTCAATGATTGCATCAGCGCTCTAGATCTCATGTAACCGTTAATGTCAAACAATTTTGATAACATTGTTATTGTAGGAGATCTGAATGTTGATATTTTGAGCGGCAACAACGTCCTTTCTCCATGCTTTCAAATGGTGGGTTTTTCTCAAATTGTCAGTGATCCTACAAGAGTGACAAGTAACACAGCATCCTTATTAGATCCAGTTTTTACTAATAAACCAGACATTATTTCCGACTGTTTGGTTCTTGATTCTAACGGCATGTCTGACCACAAAATGGTATCGTGCACTCTCTCCATTCCTGATTTGAAAAATAAACAACGGTTTGTAACTGTAAGGAACTTCAAGTGCTTCAACGAAGAATATTTTCTAAGTGACTTAGCTTCTGCAAATTTAGACGACTTATTTTTTATGAACCATATAGATGCTAAAGTTGAGTTCCTAACAAATACACTGATGAGAGTTTATGATAAACATGCTCCTGTAACTACTTTCAGAGTAAAGAAACCACCTGCTCCATGGCTATCTCCCCGCCTACGTGACGTTCTTAAAGAAAGAGATACTATACGTACATATAAAACAAATAAAACTGTAGAAAACCTGAATATTTATAAGCAAAAAAGAAATCACGCGCTTACTCAGGTGAGGAAAGAGAAAAGATCATATCTACAATTTTTATCTGAACAGAATGACGAAAAAAAGGTATGGATTGGCTTGAAGCAGCTTAATATACATTCTCGGACAAAAAACCCTCTTATCTATCTGATCCTGATTCTTTTTAATTCAGAATCATTGATCCTTCAGAAATTCTACAAACTATTAAATCTCTTAAATCAGATGCCAAAGGAATAGATGGTCTTACGCTAACTATGGTAAAGGTAAGCCTACCCGTTATATTTTTCCACTTAGTTCACATTATCAATCTATGTCTTGAAACCCGTTACTTCCCTAAAATTTGGAAGCAAGCACTGATAATACCTATAGGAAAAACTTTGAAACCCGGTCTCCTATCAGATCTTCGACCAATCAGTTTACTACCTATTTTGTCAGAAATCCTTGAAAAGATTGTACAACTTCAACTTACATCATACATTGAAGTACATCAGATAATCCCACCTAATCAATCGGGATTTAGAAAACATTATAATACAACATCTTTCGTGTTCTAGACAAAAGAATGGGTTTAGCTTTAATATCAGTCGACTACTCTAAAGCCTTCGATAAGATAGATCATAAACTTTTATGTGCTAAGCTACGTTCTGTTGGTTGTGATGAGGTTGTAATCAAATTTTTTGAAAGCTATCTTAAAAACAGGACTCAATGTGTATCAGTGAAGGGTATTACATCTGATGTCACTCGTATACCTTCAGGAGTGCCTCAGGGTTCCATTTTGGGACCTCTTTTGTTTTTAATCTATACATTTGACTTATCAAGATCAGTTTGCAACTCTGATATTCAATCGTTCGCTGATGACACCCAGCTCTCGCATTGTTTCGGTATAGAAGATATACAGAGCACTGTCCAAGTATTACAAGCAGATATTGATGCAAATATTCAGCAGATCACAACCTCAGCATAAACCCGGAAAAATCTAAGATTTTATTGTTTTATTCAGACCGCAGAAGGAACGACGTTGTTTCGCTCTTAAATGTGAACATAGACAATAAGCAGCTCGAGCTCACCAATAGCGCAAAAATATTGGGTGTAGAAATTGATACAAAATTAAGATTTACCGAGCATGTAAAAAATCTGACACAAAAAACCTATGCACGTTTACGCAGTCTTTATTCAAACAGATATCTGCTAAACTTCAAAATGAGGAAAAAACTTTGCGAAACCTTCGTTGTGTCTGTCTTGAACTACTGCAGTATTCTATATTTTCCCTGTTTGGATCACTAAACACAGAATCCAATTCATTCAAAATAGCTGTGTTCGCTTTATATTCGGCATGAGAAAGTTCGACCATCTCTCTCACAAATATGCAGAGTTGAGATGGCTAAAGTTTGACCAGTTGGTCAAGTTACATTTGTCCACATTTATCCATAAAATTTTAATTAATTCTAAGCCAGAATACCTATGTGAAAAAATTATTTTTAATAACACCATTCACAATAGAGCTATTAGAGACAGGCACGTTATCAGAATTCCGAAGCATACAACATCTCTGTTCCAACGAAGTTTCTTATATAACGTTGCAGCAATATATAATTCTTTGGACAGTAAATTTAAGACCATGAATTTACAATGTTTCCGCTACAATGTTAAGTTGAGTTATTTGAACGATTAACTTTTCCCTCAATATTCATAGACCTCTTTAGAGTAGCAGTATGTGCACACAAAATATCTCATTTTCCACTTCTCGTATGGGTTATAAGTGATTTGTTATATATATTTTGCATTTTTTTTCTGTTAGCTGTTAACAACGTGGTTAAGTGAAACATTCTTGTTTGAGTTGGATGGCTATAATGCTGTTCATTCCTGCAGGGCTGGTAGAGGAGGTGGTGTGTCTATCTATGTGATGAAATCTATTAAATTTCGTGAAATTGAGAAGTCAAACAGATGTGAGTTAATAAACTGGATATGTATTAGCTTAGGGGAACAAAACTTAAAAATTAGTGTTATATATAAACCACCATCTGTAAATAGTAAAAATTTTTTTCATTGTTTGGAATCTATTATGCGTACTCATCCTAAAAATCATTTAATTGTTGGGGATATGAATATTATTTGCTAGAAGTCTCACAAGTAGCCAAGGAGTACAAAGATTTAATAGCATTAAACACTTTTAAAATTAATAATACGATAAATGAGGAATGTGCTACTATAGTTAGCAGTTCGTCAAAATCTGTTATAGACCATGTTCTTAGCGATTATGGTAGTAATGTAAGTTGTAGAGTCAGTGTTAAAGAAAATGCAATTTCGGATCATAAACTTATATTACTTGATATTAAAACATCTGTGCAGTTCCATAAACCAAAAGTTGATTATGAGGTAAAATCTGTAGATTATAAAAAATG